GTAAGCTGAATTAGGTCTAAAAACTTGATTGTATTTAGATTACTGTCCACACTTGAATAACTCAGGGGTTAGGGGCGCCAGCTTTCCACGCAGTCAGAAATCCACATGTAACTTTTGGTTGGGCCTCCATATGCTCGGTTTCTCTGTATCCAGGACTCTGCACCCACAGATTCAACCAACTGCAGATCGTGTAGTACTCTAGTATTTACTCTTGGAAGAAATCTGCATTATAAGTGGAACTGCACAGTTCAAACCCGTGTTGTTCAAGGGTCAACTGTATATATTTAACCTTTTTTTAAGTATAAAGAAATGCAATAAAAAGGTCCCATACTTTGGCTTCCAGTATAACTTCTGTTCCTGCTTACCGTCCTCCCTCCCTTCCTTTCTCCACATATGAGAACATAGTTAGAAAATCCGAATAGTACAGAAAGACACAAAACAAATTGAAAGCTTCTCTCCACTTTTCCCCAGAGTCAACTACTGATGATATTTTTCTTTCCATATGAAAATGTGCATTTACCAACATGCTTAAGTGTGAAAGCTTGACTTGTTTTTTAAGTACATCAAAGGTGACTTTAAAAAAAACCTTTGGATTAAACTGACTCATCCACAGCTTTCTAGATAATGTTCCATTATTGAATTTCTAAAAGCATGTCTTTTAAATGTCATTCTAAAATGGTTCAAACTAGTATTTCCATTTTATTATTATTAAACTACACAATTCGGTTTCTTCGCATAGAGACTCCTCCACACAGACAGCCAAGGAAGCCGATGAGTATCTGACTGAGACCAAACAGGGTCTCAAGAATGCCCACAAGCAGTAGACCTAAAAATACTGAGAAATGGATAATCCTATGTTTGTTTTCTATAGAATTGAAGTGTAAGCTGTATGTTCTCCAGTTACTGGCTGTTGTGTTGTTGATGGAGGGATTATTGAGATCCGTAGGAGAAACACAAGAGTTGTCAAAGAACCACTGCAGATCGAAGGATTCTGGATGAATGGCACTGAACAAAATGAAAGAAGTGACAAAGATATTCAGGAATACCACTGACCATCTAAAGAATGCAGCATTGTGCCTAGAAAAGGACATGTATAGTAAAACAGAAAGTGCTTTTGAAACATCGTGCCCAGAAACTGTAGCTAAGATGAGGGTTTCTGTGCATGTGCCGTTGTACTCTTTAACAGTTGTAAAACGTTGACATTGTGTATCCCATCACTCAACAAGCATCTACAGAGGATCTACTCTTAGGTTGAACTGTATGAAATTTTCTATGTCAGAAAGGGTTGAATATTAAGTTTCCTGTGGTCGCACCTATTCATGCAGGCGCTCTTCTACTGGCTAAAGAAACTAAAACGAGCTCCCCCATTCAAGGAGCTCAGTTCTTAGTGCAAAACTGCTGTGTTGTGTCTGTTCTTAAACCAGACCTACAATGTTTACTCACAAAAGACATTTCAAATATGTCTGGTTAAAACCTTGTTGTAACAAGGTATGGAGAATGAGAAACTTTTAGCCCGAACACATCTGTCCTAACATGATTTATCTTTGGTTTTCTACAGTAGGACTAAGTGTTCTTAGAGAGTTTGCATTTCTGGATACCAGCAACTGATGTGCAGCCTGGGAAAAACCACAGTATGTCAGCACGTGGAATATGAGTATGCTTATTGCAGTTTGCAGCAAGCGTAGGGTCACTCTTCTGTAATTGTTTACTCTCCGTAACTGTCTGTCTCCCCAACTAGAGTGGGAATACCTTGATGCTGCGACCTCCAGCTTGGCCTGGTGCCTGGTACATGGTGAGTAGCCATGCGCTGAGGACTGAATGTGTATAGCATGTGTGGTTGAAATCTCTAATTTTCTACTCCAGCTCTACTAGTAAAGGGAGTTTCTTTGGATTTTGATCTACAACAACTGTGGTATGCAAATTTTGAGAGATTTTTCTTTTTTAATGCAGCGAGATAAGGAAAAAGGGAAAAAATTTTTTTCGTGTAACTACAAAAGTGAATTCTAGTTATTTTCCATACTGAACAATGTATAGGTAACGAATGAATTAGGTTGTTCTTTTCTTCCAGTTTTACAACTTGTGCCTAGATTCAGGCACAGAACCATCTTACAAGACTGAAATGAGCCATTTCCATGTAACTCTTCAGCATTATTTGTTACTCTGTGAGTTAAACTTTTGATTCATTGTCATGCTGACTGTGTTTCTATTATGTTTGCATGATTCCATTGGCTGCTGCTTTGTTTCTTTCTTAAGGCTTATAGGTAAGCCTCTAGATTTTTACTTATTGTGTTTTTATTCAGTTTATCAAATTATAAAGGTAATATATGCTTAGGGCTTACAATTTTTTAAAAATGTTTATTTATTTATTTTGGCTGCGCCAGGTCTTAGCTGTGGTGCACAGGATCTTCGTTGTGGCACGCGGGATCTTTAGTTGCGGCATGCAGACTTCTTAGTTGGGACATGCATAAGGGATCTAGTTCCCCGACCAGGGATCAAACCCGGGCCCCCAGCCTTGGGAGCGCAGAGTCTTACCCACTGGACCACCAGGGAAGTCCCAGGGTTTACAGATTAAATTAGATCAGAAGTGGAGAGAGTCAGTGCTCCCTTCCTTCCCCCAGGGCATCCTCCATTACCGTTCTCCAAAGATGAAAGTTTTTTTGGTGTATATTTCCAGAATTTTTTTATCTACATGCACATATGCAGCCGTAGATTTTTAAAAGACAAGGATAATCCATCTAAGTCAACTACTCCTTTTAGACAAGACCATACCAAAGCATTCTGAATGCAGTGATTCCTCCATTTCTCTGCGATTGGGCCAATTGGGATTAATGTGCTAAATCCCTAAGAATCTGTCCCACACCAGATAACGTGGCACTGGGTCAACACCACACTATCCTAACCTAACTAGCTGCAGCTGTGTAAGACGGCAACTGGTTACTCACGTTAAGTTTTTAAATGAAAATTCACAACTGGAAGTTCTGTTGCCTTGAGAGTTACAAATGAGAGGGCCCTCCGCGAGAGCCTGGATGGACACCGTCAGGCAGTATGCAGCTCCAATGACTGTGATCACATTCAGAAGTGATGAAAGAAACATCTGAAAAATAAAGTAGGCACATTTGCACATGTTGTTACATGTTCCCTGTCTGTTTCAAGTTTCAGCAGCACATGCAGTCTTTATCATCAACTGCTGCCATTCTGCTGACGCCTTACAGTCCTAGATCTTAAGATCACAGTTTGATTAGGTGTGACTTAACACAAGAAGGCAGAGGGCAGAGTGCCTGCCATTTCATTAGACTTGCTAAACGATCATTGGTCTTGCCAGTGTTTCTGAAAAACCTGAACTCTTATGCTCTACCTGAACCTTGTCCATTTCAACGGACCACTACAGTGTGTCAGGAACAAAGATAGACTGTAAATAACTAGCAAAGTAAACTATAATCCTATATAAATACCAAATGTCAGGAAAAGGTAATTTAAAAAAAATAAATCAAACTCATGGCTATAAATATGTACCCTTTTAAACAGTGGCTCTCACCCCTGGGAGCACATGAGAATCACACAAGGTGCTTTTGAAAGATACTAATGCAGAATCTCAGGGGGGCCACCAGGCATTGGTATGTTTAAGATTTTCCCCAGGTGATTCTAATGTTCCCATCAGGCTGAGAACCATTGCTTTAAAACCTCAAGCTCAGTCAGGAATATTTACTGTGATTTCTTATTTATTGATCTACCTGCTTCCTTAGAGAATTATGAGAGCCCTCAGCGTTACTTCGTAACAATGTTCATGGCATAAATAGTATGAAGCCTGGGAATTTTGGAGTCTGATGGATTTGGATACAAACCTACCTAGTAACTGCTACACTGGCAGGTTATATGCTTTCTCTGAGGATCAATTTCTCAGTAAAACAGAGATCATAAAATGTATGGGTTTTCAGAAAAATAAGATAGCGTATTTGAAATTGTTCTGAGTTTAGTGAGAGAAGGTTAATAAATATTAATTTCCTTTACTTCTAACATAGTTACAATTTTATACATACCAAATGTTTGAAAAAAATAAGTGTTGTCTCCTTTAACTTAACTGGATAAGGACAATTAACATTCTGCTCCTAGTAAACCAGTCTTTCACATGCATAAGAGAACTGAGGATACTTTTTCCCTAAGTATTTTATACACACCACAAAAGTAACAAATATTTGAGTATTATGAAATTGATTACTGCCCTGAGTGCAGACTTATAAATCTCCTTTCTTTGAAAACTTTTAGACTAAAACCGAAGATTGAGGAGAGGTCTGAAAGCTCGCTCCGAAACTAAATTTTTATGGGAAAGCAAAAAGACAAACTTCACACTTTCAGCATTATCATATAAATTATTCTAAATAACATGTTTCTAGGACCAGCCCTGCCACTGGAGCCACACGGTGATTCAGGAGATGCTGACGCCTCGGCGGCTTTGCTGAGATGCCAGTAACTGCTTATGCACCAGACCAGCTGTGCTGTGCTCACCCCGGTTTTGTTATTGCAGCATGCTCTTTTCCTCGCTGCTAAGGACATTGTTGTTGCTGGAATGACCTGGAAATTACATCAACAGGAACAAAGAATATTATTCTTATCAGATGATAAAGCAATAATCTTCACTTTCTACTTGCCAGCAGTTGTGGGAAGCCAAGAGGCTTAAGAGAATAAAAAGGAGATGTGACAACGTCCTTGATCTTGTGACCCTTACGATCCCCATTTGGACCATAAAGGTTAAAAAGGGGGAAAGAATGGGGGATTTCAGTATAGCAATTTCAAACTTCCGTCTGCATTTTTACTTTGAGTCATCATTAGAGAGACTTGGATTTTAAATAAAGTTATTTATTCGTTATTTTGGAGGAATGTTTCTGAAGGAATGGTTGCATCATCCAAAATTCACTTTTTTTTTTTTTTTTTTTACTATAATCTGCAACCACTTACCCAATTTCCCCAAAGTAGTGTGAATTAATCTGGCAAGCATTCAGAAAGGAAATTGATGGTTTTGTCTGCCTGGCAGTTGGGAACTAAGAATCCTATCACTACCCTTCTCCCACTTCCCTAACTTTCCTCTCACTCCCAGGGTCACCACCAGCTCAGTAGTTCCCCAAACTTATGATCTGAGAATTACTTTGAGTTCTGCATTCTCCTTTCTACTCCTGTATCCATGGTATGGAATGATCTCACTTCACACTGATGTTTAGAAATCTTGTATTACATTCTGTGTCAAGGGAACACATATTGCTGGGGAAAGCTGTAAGAAATGATGCCGTGTTCTCAGGACTTAGGTTAAAATTTCTACTAAGAACTAGTCAGCAGCTATAACTAGAAATTCTTCATGAAAGAAGTTTTGTATCATTGAAGGGTTGAATGTCGACTACTTCCTTACACTTAAGATATTTTAGCCATGAGTTTTTTGCCATTTCAGCACAGCTGCCCTTGAGTAGTTGTCTCTCTCTCCTTCCACTCTTGTTTTCTAACATTTTACTGAGTTCTAACAACATACCAGGCACTGTTATAGGTGCTATACGTGTTTTAGTTCATTCACAGCCTCATAAAAATCCTATGAGGTAGGGCTTCCCTGGTGGCGCAATGGTTGAGAGTCCGCCTGCCGATGCAGGGGACACGGGTTTGTGCCCCGGTCCGGGAAGATCCCACATGCCACGGAGTGGCTGGGCCCATGAGCCATGGCTGCTGAGCCTGCGCCTCCGGAGCCTGTGCTCCAAAACAAGAGGGGCCACGGCAGTGAGAGGCCCGCGTACCGCAAAAAAAAAATCCTATGAGGTAGGTGCCAATTATCCCCATTTTACTGGGTCGGAAAACTGAGGCACAGAAAGCTTGAGTAACTTGCCTAAGAAAGTGGAAGAGTTGGGAGTCACAGCTGGGCATTAGGGTTCCAGAGCCCAGACTCAGCCACTCTTCCAGTCACACTGGCCAATTCTAGCAATTCTCTGTTCCTCCTTAGAGCTTGCTCATTCTCATCTTCCCTACCAGCATCACCCCCTCACTCATCTCATTGTCCTCCTCCTAATTGCTCCTTCCCCAATCCATTTTTCCAAGACCATGTCCACCTTTGTCCTTTCAGAGCAGGTCTCGGATTGAACAGCCTTACAAGGCAGCTTTCCTGACAAGCTTCACCCCACTCTGACCATGTGCTGACTCCGTGTCACGTATGGAAAACACTTTGTGTTGTTATCAAGCTTTGCTTGCATACTGCCTTGAACACCAGCACTCTTACAATTCAAAGGGCACGTGTATGTATGGCAGCCTAGCCATTCAAGGCATAGCTGAGAGCCCAGAAGAAAAGGGAAAAGAAATGTATGGACCCAAATAGGTGTCAGTGTTCATGGGCTAAATTTCTTTTGTTGTACTTATAAGTGATACTGCCTTCTGAGCTTAAGGAACAAATCAGGAACTGGCAAACTGGCCCACTGGGTTGTAAGTAAGATCTGAGGCAAAACGTCCCTGAGGTTAGAAAGCCAGGGTTTCAAGTCCCAAACCTCTTGGGCCAACTCCCCTCGGTGCAGGCAGTGCCATATTCATGCCTCTCAATTATCCAAGAGACTCATCGGGCATGAAATGTTTCTTCCCCTTCCTATTGAGCACTTCCCGCTTTTGCTGTATTCCCTGTGAATACACAGAGCTGGTTTTGGCAAAGGAAAGCTGAGGGAATAAATTCAAAAAGTCCCAAACACTAACTATGAAGCTTGGAAGAGCAGCCTTATATGCGAAGAAGTAATTACCCAACCAACTTTTATCGATATCTTATTTTTTGCCCAAGCTCCCTAGCCTGTGCCACAGTTCCTTTAAATTGTTGTTCTTCACTGATGCCAATATAAATACCATACCCACTGATCCTCAGTATATCCTAAGCCAAGACATAGCTCACGGCAAGGCTGCAAGATGGTCTTTAGACCATCTTCAGTAAAATAGCTCCAAATCAAGGCAAATAAATTTCACTCACCATCAGACCTGCTCCAATAATCCCAGGGAACAACCATTCAAAGCAAGAGATGGGGTTTTTAAAAGTTTGGTCTTCCTCCACTAAGTTGACAATTAGAGGTATTGCATTGAGAGTTACTCCCAACAGAAGTAGAACCAGCAGGCTGAATCCATTGCAGGCTGTCCATCCTTCACAGCAGGTCATGGTCACCCCCTGGTTCAAGGAGAAACCCTGTCAGGGTGGCTGTTTTTGTGGCACTGTCTTGCCTTTTATCCTGAGCTTTCTAGTTAAAGCTCAGCACTTACAAAAAAAAAAAAAAAAAAATCACAGAAATGAGTTCAGAGTCCAGTAGGGCAGGACATTATTATGAGGAGTATTGCAGGAAGTAAGGACGATTTTACGTTACCATGGGGTGGGGAAGGTAGGTGGGAAATAAATCTATGGTTGCTACTAGATAAATTCATGCATGAAAATCGGCAGATTAAAAAAAATGGGTTTAAGATACACTCTTCTAACATATTTTACATTATGCCAGTATGCCACATAAAAAGTAAAAACAATATCCAATTAAGATAACCTATTTTTCTTGTTGTATTGATATTATTACCAGCTATGGAAGTTCCTTATTTTGAAACTGTTCAACAGGAAAATGAATATATATGAGATTGGGAGAAAACATTTTCTCTGCTGCCAATGTTCTTGATTAGTCAAAATGTTAGGGTTCAGTTTCAGGCTGTATGCTCACACACACAAAACAGGCTTTCTACCTCTTGGTCTCTACCCTATGAAGACTGACTGCTGGTCCTGTGTTTGTTTACTGTGAGATGCCTCTGTATTCTCATAATAAATTATCCCCTTCTTAGGACTTTAAGTGGGTTTCAATTTTTTTTTTTTGAAAACAAAGCCAAAGTTACTAAAACCAAGGATAGAAAAGTATACAAATAACTTGCCATACTAAAATAGCAAAAGGAGTCAAGAAAACGGAAGGATTCTATCAAGATGGGCAAAGAAGCAGGATTCCTCTCGGCTTTGGAAGATGGCTAGAATTTGACACAAAAAAATGGTCAGAAAGGTATTTCATGTACCACTGTCAGTTGCAGAAAACCCAAACTCTTCTAGCTGTGCTAAGCTGGAAGAAGCATAGTTGAGGAATCGTGTACAGAACTGTTGGGAGGGCTGGAGGGGCAGTCTCCAGGAATG